AGATGCTGTAGAAACCCAGCAACACACGAAGACCATATTTGGCTAATAGATCTGCAACTCCATTAGCCATTCTGCACACATGGTGTGTTCGAACCTCCTAGTCTCTTTGAAGCAGGATCTAAGCTTCTCCGATAACAGTGACATTAGTATGTTGAGAGTTACAGCCCTTTTGAATGCACTGCAGTGCTTCTAACGAATCTGACTTCAGTTCCACCTTCCTATAACCCATGTCCCAAGCAAGTTTCAGATCGTGAATGATAGCCCAAATTTTCATAGATAGTTCATCTCCATTATCAATCCTGCAATAGAAACCACAAACAAATTTCCTATCATGTGTGCGAATGAGGCCCCCACAGGCATTGGCATTCAAAGCATGAGAGTAGACTCTATCTACATTCACCTTGACCTAGTCATGATCCAGAGGCACCTAATGAGAATTAGCACTGTTAAGTGAGCCAGATAACTTCCTATATGATTCATGAATACTATGGAAAAGGGCTTTTGAACTGGCAATAACAGAAGTGTTGCTCATGCACCATTGTTCAAATATTTGTTGATTTTGTTTGTGCCAAAGTTTCCAGTAAACAATCGTAAAAATAGAACTCTAATCCATTCTAGCAAAGGGAGATGAGCAAACTTTGACCATGCACGTGAAGGGACAACCACATGCCAAAGATTATTTGTAGCTGGATAATCATGAAGAACATGCAATATATCCTCTGAATTTCTTTTACACACAGAGCATAACCCTGAATCAGCAATCTTACGCTTGAGCCTTGTTCATTTGTAAGCAACCTCCCTCTCACCGCAAGCCACATAAACACCCTACATTAATATGGAACTTTTAACTTCCAAATGTGAGACCACAAATTGTCTGTTGTGGCAAAACTCTGAATGATGTTTTCATAAGCAGATTTCACCAAAAACAGATCACTTCTATCCCATTTCCATCTAACACTATCACCATTACCAATGACCTCCGTACCTTCCTCAACCTTCTTCCAAATTTCTTTAATACCAACCCAAACATTCGAACCCCTTTTCTCAGGGTCAATCTTAGGAATAATATCATTACCACATCGATACTTATCTTTGACAATCCGTACCTAAAGAGCATCTCGCTTTGTCATTATAGTCCAATCCAACTTTATAAGAAAAGACTGGTTTTGATGTTTAGCATGTCTGAACCCAAGCCCTCCATTCTTCTTTGGCAAGCCAACCTCATTCCAGCCAACTAGAGGAATGCGGTGGTGGTTTTTGGAGCTACCCATAAAAAGGATTTATTGCACTGGTCTAAGCAGTTACAAGTGTTAATTGGGAGTAAAGCCGTCTACATAATATGATTAGGCATGGTTGAAGATACGACTGAGATCAAAGTTGTTCGTCCTGCTAAAGAAAGAGAGTTTATCTTCCACCCCATCAACTGCCTCTTAACCTTCTCTACAACTTCCTCGAAAGTATCATTCTTTACCTAGGAGTGATGTAGAGGTGCACCTAAGTATTTGCCAAGACTCTCAATAGGAGTAAATTCTAGAATCTCATTAATCTCGTTACATCAATTGTTTTCCACATTACCAGAATAGAATATTCTGGTTTTAGATGTATTCACTGTAACCTCCCAGAGGTTAAACCACAAATTACTCCAAATCATGATAATCCAGGGTTTAACCCTCAAAAAATTACCAAATTGTAAAGTTTTATAAAAAAAATTTCTCAAAATTCTTTCAAAGAAATCTCAATCTCAACAAATCAAATCTCAAACATGATTTAAGAAACTCCAAATCATAGTTTTGAAAACAAAGCAGAAGCTTGAAAATCAATTGGGACCCAAATAATGAGTTTTAAAACTCAAAAATAAATTTTTTTTGTAGAAAGTGACTCATGCACCGTGGCACACGGCATGTGCACCACGGCGTATCTTCTCTATGCCATGCACCGTAATGCATTGCACGAAATTTGACAACATCAACGCATGAACTTTCGATGCGTCCCAAATCTCTGTCCGACGTCTAATTAAGGTGATTTCAATGTCTATACGGAGCTTTCTCCCAGCTCTAGCTAATGGTATCAGTTTCACATTCAAACTCATTTTCTATAAAAAGTTAGACACCAAAACCCATTTTAACCACTTTTCACAAAATTTCTTAAATGGGGTGTCTTAACTCAACCACGCGTGCCAATAGCTTACACCAACCATCCGACCACACTCAATAGACTCTTGCAGACTTGTGCAACGCACCACACACAATTAAAAATACTTATATCATAAAATCACCACTCAACCCCGATTTTCACAAAATATAAAGGGGAAGAAAATGTTGCACAAAATAAACAATTTCATTCCAAATTTCTCAAAATACATATGTTTATACTTGCACAAGTATTTTAGCCCTATCCATAAGTTTACAACCAAAATTCACTAACTTAGGACAAAAAATACATTAGTTATACACAAAATCATACAAGTAGTGCATAAAGCATGCCAAATAATCCTAATTGGCAATTACATTAACAAATACACATGACAGTACCAAAAGAGAGGCATATAGAGGATTACTCCATAAATCCTAAGCCTCTGTATGTTTTCCCCGACTCGAATCCAATGAGCTAGGTCTTAAAATATTAAGAATTGAGGGATGAGTACAACTATTTAGTAATTAAGTTTTACTTAACTCATACAGTTGTATATTAATTGTAAATAGATGCAATTAGGCAAATAAGCACAATTAACACATAACATTCGGTCACGGTTCACAAAACTAACAACCATGTGACTAGGCTTGCCATAAAATATTTTATCATGTTATTTAGCAAAAACATAACACAAGGTCGCAAAAATAACAACCATGCACCCTCAACACATGCCGGACCACAAAACTAACAACCATGTGGCCGAACTTATATGCATGATCATATACCAACCTTATATCCTCCTGTTACCTCTAACACAAAACCGATGGCTATCATGTGGCTACGTCCTTTACGGACTAACCCAACCTTCCACTTGTGAGGAGCTATCGGGCCAAGGTAAACTCACTCACTTATATAATCCAATTTCTTCCAATACTAATGACCATGGAGTGTCGTACCTTAATCTAGCCTCCTCATGAACCGGTGGAGACTAGTTAGGTTTGAGTCTCTCATAGAACAAGTAGGATAGTCCCGAATCAATTATGGGATAAGGCCTACCTCCTGATTCCAACGGTCGGTGCCATGGCTAGTTTTCAATTCCAACGATCATTGCCAATACCACGTGGATTTTAATCAATCTACTCTTCTCCCTAGGCGAACCCCTGCCAATGATCATGCTATACACATATTTCACATAATATGCATTTTAACAATCAATTCATAACACATGAACTTACATAACTCAAATATTCCACAATTCAACACATAATTCATCACAGTTCTCCACCCATAGTAATAAATCACAATTAATTTCATAAAACACTAAGGGTGGCAAAATAAAGGTTTTCTTTCCAAAAATCATTTCACAAATCAAACACTTTGCCAATATGCATCATTAATTTAACTCATAATTCATATTTCATAAACACAATTAACATTCAACTATAAAAATTAAGTTTTTCTTGGTTACCTCAAACCTTTGAGAGGTCAAAGGCTTATCTCTCACTATACCAACTTCTCAAAGTTTCAACAAGCTCGAATGGTGTCAAAAACGAACCTCTCTACATCTATACCATAAGAATTTCATCATTGTCTAAATCTTAAAGTCTTATCAACATAAAACTCCACACAGTTATTTTTATCAACTCATAATCACTACCCATTCATATCCAATGGGCTCATTAAATTTCATTAATGCACATTATCATTAATAACACCTCAAATCATCATTAATGCACATAAATCTCTCCCAACTACCTCATAAATATCAATTTTCAGATAATAAATGCTCCTATAAACCAACCACTTCCAAAATCATCAATGTGATGTTCCAATATATTAAACAACTCCCATTATACTCATTTAACCAATAGAATCAGACTCATACTCTTATGGGTCAAAAATCCATCTCCCAATTCAAACCCTATAATAAATCATCATAAATGAAGGAGAGAAAGGAAGAATGAGGCTTAGATTACCTACCTTAAGTGTTTGAGAGCTTCAAAATGTCAACAATGGAAGCCAATATGTATGCCCTAGCAGAGCCCAGCATTCTCTTCTTTTTCTTCCTCTTCTTCTCTTCTATTTTCTCGTGCAGACACGATCTGATTTATTAGAAATTTTGCCCGTGTGCTGCAGCGCATGCTGTCCTTCGCCACGGCGCATGGCACAAAGGAGCCCATTGCATTTAAATTTATGTTCATGCACTGCGACAGACTAACCATGCACAGCAGTGTGTGGCATAAAAAATAATGCTTCACTTTTCTTTCTCTTTCCTTGCCCAGGTGGCCCGTCATCGATCCGAACCCACTGCTAGGGCTGAAATCATAACAATTATGCCAAGTTAAGCCCCTTTGACCACACACATCATTAACTCACTAATTACCCTCATTAAGTTAATAAACTAGGGTTAAATTTTTTCAGATGTTACATTCACCTTCAAACCAGAGCTTTCACAAAAAGCTATGATACATTGATTAATAATTTCCGCTTGACGACAAGTCACCTTTGAGAAAATAAAAATATCATCTACAAAAAATAAGTGCAATAAAGGGAGCCTAAATTTCATAAGCCTGATCGGACTCCAATCTCCTAACTCTATAGAATTCTGAATCAAGTGAGCAAGTTTTTTCATGCAAATAACAAACAAGTAAGGAGATAAAGGATTATCTTATCTAATGCTTCTCGATGAAAAAAAAAACCATCAGCTTTTTTCCCATTCCATAATAATATAAGATTTTTTTTTTTTTATGCTGGTTGAGATCGAAGAGTTGCGCATTAAAAAATAAAACGAATAATGATATAAAAAATTTGCAAGTTTACCAAATTCTTCCAAAAATTAATTATTACCCCGATAAAAAGTAAAAACACATTCTCAGGGGTAGCGGATCCATTTGCCTTCGTCGACGAACTAACATTCCAAACTCTGTCGGACGCCTTCCATTGTTGTCAGCCCTGCATGGTTGTTCTAGGGCAAGCAGTGAAGGATCGAACCCTAAGGCTTTTTATACTACCAAAATCTGGTGAGATTGATTTGTTCAATCTGGCTTTGAATTTAGATTTGAATTTGTCCCCCGCTTCATCTGTTCCCTGCGTGGCTGCTCTTACTTTGTTTTAAATTTTTCATGTTAATTTGGCTTTGAACTTGGTCGTGTAATCGTTTGAATATTGAGGTTTTTTTTTTGTTGTACTGGTTTTTGCTTGAATGGTGTGTAATTGGGCTATTATACTTCTTCCCTCTTCATTTTTATCACTAGCGACCTCTATGATTTGGATTTTTTTTTTTTTGCAATGTTGGATTTGTTGTGAATTGGCATTCTTTTTATTAATCTTGTTATATTATCATCAATTTTGGAAAAGTCTCAAGGTATTTGTGATGTTCTTTTAAATGACTTGGCTCGATTTGTGTCAAAGCATCTAGAGCAAAATTGAAAGGGTATTATATCCACTATGCATATTTCAAAGATCTGTTTCACGAAGCTGGGGGTGTTTTGGCTGTCTCGATAAAGTTAGGCAAATGCAAAACACTCTCTTGAGGGGCAGGACCTCTACCATGCTCTGGGCTAAAGGCGTTAGAAAGGCACTCTCGTGTGTGAAATCACTAAAGTACCAAAGCTATGCTATATAAACGAGATATGGATGGACATAAATCTGAGGTAGTATTTGACACAAATTAACAGTTCAAGCAAAAAATATCAGGTCATAAAACTGTAATCATCAAAACACAAAATTAAGTCACTGATGGTCTGATATTTCTACTCAAGCGTGATAATCATTCAATACATGCATTGCAAAACTAAGCATACCCCACCTTTAATTCATTCATGCCATTCACATCTATATATCTCCTATGCATACTTAGAGTTAACGGGGTTTCCTTTCCTAAGAGTACTTACAAACTAACAGATCACTACTTACTAAGCATCCATTAACATCCATGTAAAATTATCATATTGATATACTACTTTGGGTTTGAAACAGGAACTGAACACTCATGTATTCAAGACAGGCATATAATTTTTTGCATTGAATACCTTGATTGAACATCCACAAAATGTTGCAGGTTGTGTGTGAGTTTTGGTTTTGTTGAAGGATAGCTTATTCAACTATCCTTTTATTGGCACTAGCTATGCTACCCACTGGAGCAAAAGAGACACAATTACATGAAAACAGTAGTCAGAAGGTCCATCCTCAACCTGTGGAAGAGGCCATGAATCAGAATCCTGAAGCTTTGGAAACTTTAATGTCTAGAATCTTTACAAATATATCTTCCTTGAAGTCAGCTTATATCCAGCTCCAGTCTGCTCATACTCCCTATGATCCTGATAATATACAAACTGCAGATAAACTTGTTATTGCAGAGTTGAAGAACCTGTCTGAACTCAAGCATTTCTATCGGGAAAACAACCCAAAACCAGTGTGTGTTTCCCCACAAGACTCTCGTTTGGCTGCAGAAATTCAAGAGCAGCAAAGCCTCCTGAAAACCTATGAGGTTATGGTGAAGAAGTTTCAGTCCGAAATTCAGAATAAAGATTCGGAGATCCATCAATTGCAGCAGCAGATAGAGGAGGCTAGCCAAAAGCGGGCCAAGTTAGAAAAGAATCTGAAGCTTAGGGGCTTGTTAACCAAAGACTCTGAAGATGAAAATAGGTTTTTCCCTGTTGATCTTACACCAGATCTTTTTACATCTGCTGCAGAAGCAGCTTCCAAAGCCATCCACGATTTTTCTAAGCCGTTGATCAACATGATGAAGGCAGCTGGGTGGGACCTTGATTCTGCTGCCCACTCAATTGATTCTAATGTCATTTACACAAAGAGAGCTCACAAGAAGTACGCATTTGAGTCCTACATATGTCAAAGGATGTTTGGTGACTTTGAGCAGGAAAGCTTCGGTGTCAAATCAGACCGTGTTACAGTCACGAAGGAGAGCTTCTTCCATCAATTTCTTTCCTCAAGGGAGACGGATCCCTTGGATATGTTAGGGCAAAATCCGGATTCAATTTTTGGTAAATTTTGTCGGAGCAAGTACCTAGTGGTTGTTCATCCAAAAATGGAAGCATCGTTCTTTGGAAATCTAGATCAGCGAAATTTTTTAGTGGGGGGTGGACATCCAAGGACTGCTTTTTACCAGGCTTTTCTGAAACTTGCCAAGTCAATTTGGCTTTTGCACAGACTTGCCTATTCATTTGAGCCAAATGTCAAGGTATTTCAGGTTAAAGCGGGGAGTGAATTCTCTGATGTTTATATGGAAAGCGTGATAAAGGATCTGGTCATGGATGAAAGTGAGGTGAAGCCCAGAGTTGGGCTGATGGTCATGCCTGGATTCTGGATTGGTGGAAGTGTGATTCAGAGTAAAGTCTATCTCTCTAATATGAAGGTAGCCGAGTGATTTTGGATAATACATGCGGACCTTTTGTCCAGACAGTCTGATGTATGTAGCTAGGTCAAGTTGCGTTTTCTTATCCTGCAATGTGTAATGTAATGCTGTTTGTAATATATTTCATTCCTGTTAGTGGTCTCTGAGATGAAATTGTGCTCTCTGGGTGTCCTTGTTTACCTTCAGGTTTTATTCTGCTGTTTGCTCATATCCCACTTGAAAATCCAAAGAGATTAAGATTGTAATTTTTCTGGGACCTCATATCCAGAATCGTATTAATGCAGATATATATAAAATGCGTGGTGTTATCATTATTGTCCTTTGGAAAATGCTGTCATTTTCATTTTTCCTGGTGATATCTTTGTTGGCTGCCTCATACTACTTCAAGCATCCCTTTTTTCCTTGTGGAGAAGAGCGATTTCATCTCTATTAATTTAACAGGGTTTAGGTCTTTAACCCTTTGGTAAAGGAAGGGTGACAGATTATTATTATTTTTTATGTTATTTGAGAAATTAAGATAAGCATGATGGATAATCCAGGAAGAGAACCTAGAAACTCCAGCAACATCTCTCATTCTTTGAGGGTTAGACGAATCAAATGGTCCAGGCGTATAATCCTCTTAGACAGAAAAGCTTGATGTCGCACAAATTGGTTAAATCGAAACTGTACAAATGCTGTATCGTGATGTTCAAGGAGATCCGGTGAAATCTCCAGATATGTTATGGTGGCGCAAAATAAAGACCAATGGCGGACATTTTGATACACCGCAAATTCAAATAAGGTGGTGGTGGTGCGCAGAAGAGATGGAGAGGGATAGGAATCCAAATTGATGGAGTTTGCTGCTGTTAAAGTGGTTTTTCCTGTATCACCTGGTGATAAAAATCCTTCTGTGTTTACTTTTTAAGACTGTTAAAGTGGTTATATTAACTAAGAGAGCTGAACTTTTGTTGCATTATGTTACGTTTGGAATATCTGAAATCCTGTAACTTATCAATATCATAGTGGAACACGCATGCCTTTGTTTTACTTTATATATGTTCATCTAATGCTACTTCATCCAAGCTCATAAAATTGCTGTGTTTTTGGATGCCCTACAAAAAAATAGCATGTTCATTGGATAGTTTTATCAGGCAAGATGTGTTTAAGTGACCTATGAGGCATGCACTGTTTTATCAAATTACATTATGGGCCTGTGCTTTGCATGGAGTTTGAGGTGAGTTGCAAGTTTGATGGTTTATAAATAATGCATCTTCTTATAGATTTATATTATGTATAGATTATGTAGACTCTATCTTCTATTTGGATGCCATTGCATCATTTTTCTTTGCCAGTTACGATCTGGCCAATGTTACTTAATTATTTTGAGCTGATTAACTTTTCCTCGTCTCTTTTTCATCAAGCGTCCTTTTGCAGGTACCTCTTTGCTCATTGTTCTAAGGGAAAACATAACATTGGATTCTTGCATTTTACCCGTGTTTAGTTATAAATTCTTACATTTTTTTCGGTATTTTAAACTCCTACACTTTCATTTTTTGATGTTCTAGATTCCTCCAAGGCCTCTATACTTCATTCATTTAAAGACTTAGAATACCAACAAATAAGTATAAGAACCTAGAATACTAAAAAAAATGCATGAGACCTATAACAAAACATGAACAAAGTGTAGGGACTCAAAATTATGTTTTCTCTTGTTTTAATGATTAACTTCCCCTTTTCTTCAAACTCTTAACAGAAATTTCTGAACAGGTGTTTGGCGTGATAGAATGTGGCCTGATGGCTGGACTGCTGTTAATGCAGATGGCAAACGCAGTGCTCAATTTGAACACCCACTTCTGGTTAGTGCAGATTGGTAAACTTAAAAATTACATGCTTGTGTTTTCTGGGTTCTAATATTATCAGTGAGGATCCTAATGTTTTATTTATTTATTCACTACCTCCAATCATACTTATACTCTTTTTAACTGAATGACAAAGATTAAAAAATTGATTAAAATTGCCACCAAACACTTGGATCAATTGGCTAGAGACTTGGTCCAATTTAACAAGAGATTTCGAGTTTAAACCCTTGATATGCAACATCAATTAAATTCTTAGTGGAAGGTATGCCCTTCAAAGAAGTGCTTGCAAGCTGTTGACCAGATCTGAGTCAAAAGTCTCAGGATGTTAGAGCAAAAGAAAAAAATTGATTAAAATTAGTTAATGTTCTTGATTTTATTAAAAAAATTGTCATATTGTAAAATTGGCGAGCAAGTCATCCATGGACTTGGTGCAGCCGCGCTTGCCGTACCCAACCATGTTTAGGCAAACAGGGTTGGCCCATACGACAACAACAACAACAACAACAAGCCTTTATCCCACTAGGTGGGGTCGGCTACATGGATTGCAAGACGTCATTGTGCTTTATCATTTATCAAGCTTTTAGGAATATTATTAATTAAGAGATGGCGTTCAACAACTTCCAAGAGTATTCTCTTAGGCCTTCCTCTACCTCTCTTAATCGGACTCAAAGTTATATGTTCCACTCTTCTCACTGGTGCCTCCCTTCGTCTTCTTTGTACATGCCCAAACCATCTCAACCGATTTTCTACCATTTTTTCTTCAATAGGTGCCACCCTTACTTTTTCGCGTACGTGCTCATTTCGAATTTTATCTTTACGTGTATGTTCGCACATTCATCATAACATTCTCATCTCTGCTACTCCAACTTTATGCTCTTGCTGTCCCATTAGAGCCCAGCATTCACTACTATATAACATTGCCGGTTTGATAACAGTGCGATAAAACTTTCCTTTAAGTTTATTAGGCACCTTACGGTCGCAAATAACTCCTTTAGCTTTTCTCCAATTAAACCACCCAACTTGAATTCTATGTGAAATATCTCCACTGATTTCGCCATCATTTTGAATAATGGCTCCCAAATATCTAAACTTTTCACTTGAGGTATAATTTGATCTTTCAATTTCACTTCCAAATTATTGTCGAATAGTCTTTTACCAAATTTACAATATAAATATTCCGTCTTACTTCTACTCAGACGAAAACCTTTCGACTCCAATATCCTCCTCCATAACTCAAATTTGTAATTAATCTCTTCCCTTATCTCTGCTATAAGAACTATATCATCCGCGAAGAGCATACATTTCAAAATTTTCCCTTGAATATGTTCCGTCAAAACATTTAAGATCAAGTTGAACAAATAAGGACTCAGAGATGATCCTTGATGTAATCCAATCTTTATAGGAAAATCCTTTGTTTGACCACTAGGCGTTCTTATACTAGTTTTTACCCCCTCATACATATCTTGTATGGTTTTAATATAAGCAATCCGTACTCCCTTTTTTTCCAATGCTTTTCAAAGCACTTCTCTTAGTATACGGTCATAAGCTTTTTCCAAATCAATAAGAACCATGTGTAGATTTTTATCTTTACAACGATACTTTTCCATTAATCCCCTTAGTAGATAAATTGCCTCTGTAGTTGATCTACGTGGCATAAAACCAAACTGATTCTCAGAAATACATGTCTCCAATCTCAACCTGTGCTCAATTATTTTCTCCCACAATTTCATTGTATGGCTCATGAGTTTAATCCCTTTATAGTTAGTACAATTCTGAATATCTTCTTTATTTTATAAATAGGAATTAATGTACTTCTCCTCCACTCATCAGGCATTTTCTTGGACCGTAAAATCATATTAGATAACTTAGTTAACCATCTCACCCCTTCTTCACCTAAACATTTCCATACTTCGATAGATATACAATCAGGTCCGTTGGCTCTACTATTTGCCATTTTCTTAAAGCTTCCTTTACCTCCTTATCACGTATTATTCGATAGAATGACAAATTTTGTTCTCTTTCACCAGTTACTAAATCCTCTAAGTTACTAGATGAACCCTCTCCATCATTGAAAAGTTTAGAAAAGTAAGTCTCCTATCTATTTTTAATTTCATCATCTGTAACTAAAATTCTTCCCTCTTCATCTTTAATACACCTTACCTATTCTAGATCTCTTGATTTTCTTTCCCTACTCTTGGCAATCTTATAAATATTTCGCTCTCCTTCCTTCGTCTCAAGGCTCTTATAAAATTCCTCAAAAGCTTTAGAACGAGCTTCACCCACAGCTCTCTTAGTTTCCTTCTTAGCCATACGGTACCTCTCCCAATTTTCTCCATTGTTACACAAATGTATAGCTTTAAAACAGTTCTTCTTATACTTGATTTTGTCATGTACACTATTATTCCACCACCAAGACTCCTTATCTCTCAGACTAGAACCTTTTGATTCTCCCAAAACTACTTTTGCAACCTCCCATATCTTTTTAGCCATATCCTCCCATATGATGTTAGCACTTTCCTGAGATTTCCAAATTCCTTTATCCAAAAGATTTCACTTGAAAATATATTGCTTCTCACCTTTTAATTGCCACCACCTAATCCTTGGTGCTACTACTTGTTGACATTTTTGAATTTTACTCATAATACACACATCAAGGACTAGGATCCTATGTTGTGTCGTTACAGCTTCTCCGGGGATCACCTTACAATTTTTACAAAGTCTTCTATCTGTTTTTCTAACCAAAAGAAAATCAATCTGTGACCTTGAGGCTCTACTTTTGTAAGTGATGAGATGATCATCTCTCTTCTTGAAACAAGTGTTGGCAATCTTAAAATCATGCACCAATAAGAAATCAAGAAGAGTTTGTCCTTCATTATTTGGCTCTCCAAAACCAAAATCACCATGCACCCTTGCATACTAACCAGCTTCCCTCCCGACATGCCCATTGAAGTCTCCTCCAATAAAAATCTTTTTACTCTGTGGTATGTGTCGAATCAACCCCTCCAGATCCTCCTAAAATAATTCCTTAAGACTAGCTTCTATCCCGACTTGCAGCGCATAAGCGCTAACAATATTAATAGTCTCACGTCCAATTATCATTTTTAAGGAAATAATTCTGTCTCTAATTCTGCTAACTTTTACAACATTCTTCTTCCACTCCTTATCTATAATGATGCCTACTCCATTGCGTGCACTTACTTTTCCTATATACCAAAGTTTGAAACCTTGAATATCCTTAGCTTCTTCTCCACGCCATTTTGTTTCTTGCAGGCAAAGGATATTGATTTTCCTTCGAATCATAACCCATACAACCTCTACAGATTTACAATTCAATGTCCCAACATTCCAAGTACCAAATCTAATTTTGCTCTCATGGACTAACTTCTTTAGCCGCGTGCGTCCAGAATGATGCGGTAGCCCTTGCTCATTTAACACTACATCCGGGCGCCGATGCAGCGGCTCTAACTCACTTATCA